CTAGGCAACAAGGTGAGACCTGGTCTCTACAAAAAATCCAACAAAATTAGCTGGGCATGGTGGTGTGTGTCTGTGATACCAGCTACTTGGGAGGCTGAGGTGGGAGGATTGCTTGAGTCTGGGAAGTTGAAGCTGCAGTGAGCTGTGATTGCACCATTGCACTCCAGTCTCAGTGACAGAGCAAGACCCTGTCTCAAAAATAAACATATTTGACTATATTCTAGCAGAGACTTAGTTCGTTATAGCTACATTTTAAATCTATTTAAGTCTAATAAGATTCATAAGTGTACCATTTGAGCTTGGACAAATGGCTATCGCCATCTACCTACCACTCCATCAAATAGAGATCACCTCCATTTCCCTAGAAAAGTTCCTTGGGCCCCAGTGCAGTCAGTTTCTTACACGTCTCCCCTGGCAACCACTGTTCTGAGGAATTGGTACTGCCTCTGGAAATATGGATCCTGTGATGGTCACAAGATTCTAAGTGGACTTATTTTCTTTCAGTACATTGAAAATGACATCCCACTGTCTTCAGGTTTCTACTGCTGATGAAGTTAGCTTTTGATCTGTTGTTCCTTGAAAGGTACATTTTTTTTCCCCCTGGACTCCTTTTGAGATGTTATCTTTGTCTTGTTTTTTGTAGTTTCAACATAAGTGTAGATTTCCTTATCCTAGTTAGCATTTGGGCTTCTTGAATCCATGCTTTGATGTCTAACTATCTAGCACTGAAGATACATCTTATTCAAATGGTTTTTGCCCCATTTCCTCTTCTTTTGGGACTCCAAATAAATACATATATGTGTGTGTATTAGATTTTTTCATATTCTCGTTCTTTCTCTTGTCTTCATGCCTCATTCCAGAAAGTTTCTTCAGCCTCTCCTTCCAGGTTAGTAATTTTATCTTTAGAGGTTTTAAATTTTTGGTCCTTATATTTTAACCTCTGGGGATCTCCTGTTTTCTTTCAAATCTGTTATTTTAATAAATCTTAATTTTCTTTCAATTTTTAAACTTGGATTTTATCTCCTTCAACAGAAAAGCAATTATTTTATCTAATCCCAATAGCTGGAGACCAGTTGGTCTTTCTCTTGTCTGTGCTGGTGGTTTTAGGTCATGCTGTTTATTCGTGTACCTGATTTTCTATATGCTGGACACAATATTTTAAAAATTCTTTGAGCAATGTACTCTATGGTAACAGCTTCCAGAGTATTTGCTCACTTCTATCAGGAATTTTGAGTCACCAAAATACAGTATGACTTAACCCAATCTCAGAACTTGAGACTTTCTGGGTATTATGTGACATGAAGCCAGGCTGGAGTTCATGCAAGGACTGGTTTTCTACTAGTTCACTCTGCTTCCTAGGGCTAAAATGTGTTTAAATCCTGGCTCTAATGTGAGACCCTAGAAGGTACTTATCTTCACTGGGCTTCAGTTTCATCACATTCTTCTCATCTTACATACGGAGAAACTGATGCCCAGACAGGGGATGTAATTTTTCCAACATCCTACAATTAGTGAGAAGCAATTATAGAACAGAGCCTAGGCCTGTCAAGGGTACTTCTACCTGAGCTTTCAATTTTGGACCCTGTATCTAGGGATCTATATCCCCAAATACCTTGCTTCCCCCTACATGCACATGAAGAGGATTCTGTAATCCCTATCATACTTGCCATACCCAGAAGGAAGAATCTGAATTAGGTGAGAGTACTGAGACACCAGAGGAGGCTGGTGTATGGCAAGAAGAAGGAAGGCTGGAGGACCAAGGCAGAGTTATAAGGGCTTGTAGGGCACTAGAAAAAGTGATACTAGAAGTATCCTTGTCTAAATGGTATAGCCATGTGCTGGTATCAAAAGTGAACTGCCAGCCTGTTCTCACTTCATTTCCCACATTCACTTCCCCTTCCCAACTTCTGCTGTTGAAGATCTGTCTTTCAACTCTTGTCAAAAGGCTGCTAGCATCCACCGGGCTGATCCTGGGATACTGGTTCTAGCTGCTATAGAAGGCCCCTGAGTGAACTGAAAGGTAGATGGTGGGAGGCTGAGGAATAGTGAAACCAATGGTATAGCCAAGAAGACTTGAGGAGAGGATTGGTGTACCCCCGGTACCAGACAACTCAGGGCTGAGGTATAGGGGCATTGTTGCCTTTGTGGAATGGTATCATTTACAATAGACTTTTCCCATAGAAAGATGAGTCTTGGCAGAAGTCCAGCTTCTAGGTTTACTCCTGGCCTTGCTGCATACTCACTTTGTTATCAGAGAACACATCTTGGGGCCAGGCATGGTGGCTTGTGCCTACAATCCCTAGCACTTAGGGAGGCTGAGGCGGGAGGATCACTTGAGCCCAGGAATTTGAGACCAACCTGGGCAACATGATGAAACCCCATCTCTACAAAAGATACACAAAAATTGGCTGGGTGTAGTGGAATGCACCTGTAGTCCCAGCTACTCAGGAGGCTGAGGTGAGAGGAACGCTGGAGCTCAGGAGTCAGAGGTTGCAGTGAGCTATGATTGCACCAATGTACTCCAGCCTGGGCGAGAGAGTGAGATTCTGTCTCAAAAACAACCCCCCACCACACCGCCAAAAAAAAAAAAATTTTACCAGGAAAATGCATTACTTTCAGTTAACTGCCTCGGCCCCCATGTTCTGCTATGTAAATCTGCCCTGGGACGTTCTCATTCTAACTACTTTAAACAAGTTTCCTCCTCCATTTGCCTACTAGGCCACACTGGCCTTCAGCTTCCCTGTCCCATTCTGGTCCCCATTTCGTATGTGCCTGGAGTCCCTGGCTGAGTGGTTGGTATATGGGGCAGACTAGTGGGACTTTGTTAACAGCAAGGACTTCCATGGCAAGAAGTCTAAGAGCCCCTAATTTAACTGAACTGGAATAACTAAAATTCTGGGACCATGGGCTGAGCTGGCTGATGTTACGGAGCTGTCCAAAGAGCTGTCCCATCTTTGACTTTGTTGTTATGGTGACACAGGACAAAGATACAAAGATGCTCTCCCACTCCTGGGAGAACGAAGAAGATGCCCGGTGACAGTGGCTTCTTGTTCACTGGAGGGAGGTTGCCACCCCATCTTGGCTGTTTCCACTAGCACTCCGCAGGACCAACAGGGATGATAGGCACCACCTTTTGGAAGGCAAAACCAAAGGAATCTCGCCTGGCCCTTGAAATGCTTTATGATAATGAAATGTTTGGAAAGATAGTATGACTCACCTACAGAGTTGAGAGCCCCATTAAAATGAATCTCTTCTAGGACAGGGAATTTGGGCCAGAGCAAAGCTCCTGCTTGTGGAAGAGAGGGTTTATCTAGGCATAAACAGTCATATTCAATTTCTTTCGCATCAGTATGTTCCTAACACTGAATAAAGTTTTTGCATCACTGATGAAAGGTTGGGATCCTAAGTCAAGACTTGACACAGCTTTGTTCTCTGGCTTTCTCTGCCTATTGCTTCACCTTCCATGGCCAAAGTCTTCATTTATGGCTCATCGCTGCCCTGACTTGGCAACATCCTTGTGGTTATGCCTCTCCTACTCATTAACTATGTTAGTTGCCTATGTGCCAAGGTACTGTGCTAAGAATGTAATAATGAAGGCTGACCTGGGCAGACACTGAACAAGTAACAGTATTAAATGTCATTAAGGGGGAGGTATAGGTTGCAATGGGAACATCACAGGCAAACTGAACATGGTTTGAAGAAGTTGGACAGAGTGTTTGGTACTCTGAAGTACTGGTGCCATGAATTTATAAAAGAAGCAACGAGGTTTTTTTGTTTGTGTGTGTGTAGTGGGTGTTACTTAGGGGGAAAAACTTGGAATTGTAGCATTTGGTAGAATGAGCATAGATGTAGATTTTTAGAAAAAAGGGTCTTGGTGTCTTGGGATATGAGGATTGTTTTAAAGAAGTAGCGGCAGGTGTTGGCCTCAAGCTTTCCTACCTCCTGGGATCTTGCTATCTGATTTACTGATTCTTTGAGGCTTTAAGGAGGTATTTTTTGGTCTTGTTCAGTATTTAACTTGTTTTCAGAAGTAAGGCTAATCCTAATCGTTGGAAGTATGTTGCAATAAGCCATAATTGTGCCACTGCACTTCAGTCTGAGTGACAGAGCAAGACCCAGTCCCTCCAAAAAAAAAAAAAAGAAAAAAGGAAAATTTGCTAAGTATAGTCCCAGGAACTTGCTAGAAATGAGGATTCGCAGGTCTCACCCCAGACACACTGACTCAAAATTCAGAGGTGAGGTCTCACCATCTGTTTCCTACCATGCCCTCCAGGTGATTACTGAAGGACTTGGTAATGGATTTCAAAGTTTGAGAGCCATGTACCTAGCCCATAGTTACAAGTGATGGAAGCCTAAGGCAGCTGTCACAGTGAGTAGGTGGAAGGCATTTGCAGGAAGCCAAGTGAGGATAGAGGAACTGAGGAATCTAAAGGCTTTGAGTATCTGGTATGGCCAACCTGGAGAACAACAGGCAAAAAGCAGGGCTGATGTTCTTGAACAGGGCTTTGCGAACCTTTTCTGTAAAGAGCCAGGCAGTTAATATTTTAGGCTCCGTGGACCATATGGTCTCTGTCACGTGGTCTCTGTCATGACTATTAAACTCTGCCATTGTAATACAAAAGCAGCCATAATCAAGACATAAATAAATGAATGGGGCTGTGTTTCAATAAAACTATCTACAAAAATAAGTGGCAGGCCAGATTTGGCCCTCAGGCATTTAGTTTATTCTAGCAGAATGTTTTACTCAGTGGGTAGTGATGGTGATTGTTTTTGTGCAGTAGAAACGCTTTTTTCCTATTTAACCAAACAAAGCAGGAACTGCTCAGGTTGAAGAACAGGGTGGACAATCCAGAGCCTCCTTGTTCATATCCCCTTCTCTTCCTCAGAACACATTCTATTGAATGCCATTGAAGTAAAGCACTCAGTGTCTAGGCTGGGGGCCACGTACTCATTGCCCTAATGAGTAGGTAACTCTTCATGAACCAATCTGGTCATATAACCAAGGTATGGAAGTAAGAAGAACCAGTTTGAGATCTGTTCTGTCTCCATCCGTTCCTGGAACTGAGGGTCCAGGAGATCCTCCTTTGCTCCAATGTCAATGGTCTCTTTCTCCGTAGGTGCCAGGCAGCCCACAGAGGCCAGTAAAGATACCTGGAGTATGAGTCATTGGTCAGACACCCTTCCTGTGCCCTCCGGCCAGAGGAGAGACCAGGTCCCCAGAGACCACAGCATCTATCCCCAGCTGCTGGAGATAACACTGCACTTGCGGCAGGCCATGAGGGAGCACTTCGTGCAGCTGACGAGCAGACAGGGCCTGTCACTGGAGGAAAGGAAGCACACACAGGCCATCCGTGAGAAGGAAGCCCTTCTGAGTTGCTTAATACGCCAGATGATCAACCTCCTACAGTCTGAGGCCGCAAGTGACCTGGAGCTCCAAGTGCCTCTTCCTTCTGAGGACTCTAGGGGTGATGTCAGATATGGGGAGAGGGCCCAACTGTCTGGACAGCCTGATCCAGTTCCCCAACTGAGTGACTGTGAAGCTGCCTTTGTCAGTCGTGACCTATCCAACCGTGGGATTGACATCTCTGTCTTCTATCAGTCAAGCTTCCAGGACTACAATGCCTACCAAAAAGATAAATATCATAAGGACAAGAACACCTTGGTGAGAATTTGGGGTGGGGGGTGGGCAGCATCCTCACGGGCTCCAGTCACACGGATTTACTGAGTCCTGGGCCAAGTGCTGTATGTGCTCTCATTCTTTATAGCCTTATGAAATGGGCACTCTTGTCATCTTGCAGATAAGGGAGTAATTGCAGAAATAAAGTGACAATGCCCCAGAAAGTTGGAAAACTCCCTCTACCCCCAAATCCTTCCCTCTCCCTAAATCCCAGCTCTTAATTATTAGGAGTTGGCCCCTGTGGTCACAGGGGCAAATGAGCCTGCCATTATAGAACTTAGTATAGTGATGAATGGAGTCAGCAACTGGGGCACAGACATTAATAATCTTCCCAAGGCCGGGCGCGGTGGCTCAAGCCTGTAATCCTAGCACTTTGGGAGGCCGAGACGGGCAGATCGCGAGGTCAGGAGATCGAGACCATCCTGGCTAACACGGTGAAACCCCGTCTCTACTAAAAAAAATACAAAAAACTAGCCGGGCGAGGTGGCGGGCGCCTGTAGTCCCAGCTACTCGGGAGGCTGAGGCAGGAGAATAGCGTAAACCTGGCAGGCAGAGCTTGCAGTGAGCTGAGATCCGGCCACTGCACTCCAGCCTGGGCGACGGAGCGAGACTCCATCTCAAAAAAAAAAAAAAAAAAAAAAAAATCTTCCCAAGAGCACGAAAGGGATGCCCACTTCAGGTGGTCTGGGAAGATGTCTTAAAGGCTGAATCTGCCAGCCATGTGGTGATGGTCATGGCCATGACCCTCCAGGCAGGAGGAACAGCACAGGTAAAACCTTCAAGATGCGAAGGGCTAGGAGTGATTGGGAAAGGAAGTCCAGTGGCCAGAGTAGGGACCACTGGTGCTGTGGCAGGAGGTGTGAACAGAGGTGGATGGGAAATGTTAAGATGTTACCCTAAGGGGCCAGGCGTGGTGGCTCACGCCTGTAATCCCAGCACTTTGGGAGGCCAAGGTTGGTGGATTGCTCAAGTCCAGGAATTCGAGACGAGCCTGGGCAACATGGTGAAACCTCATCTCTACAAAAAATACAAAAACTAGCTAGGCGTGGTGGCACACACCTATAGTCCCAACTAGCTGGGAAGCTGAGGTGGGAGGATCACTTGACCCCGGTGGGTGAAGGTTGCAGTGAGCTGAGATCATGCCACTGCACTCCAGCCTGGGTGACAGAGTGGACAGAGTGGGACCCTAGCTCAAAAAAAAAAAAAAAAGAAAAAGCATGTTACCCTAAGGGCGATGGGGAGCTGATGAAAGGCTTCCAGCAAAGGGAGTCCTTAGCCACTCTCCAACCAGAGGGTAGAGGGCAACATTAGCTATACCTTCCCCTTCTTTCTAGTCTCCCGTAATAACTTAGAAGGCCCTAATGTGTAAGGAGAAGTAGCAGAGATAGGTGCCAGGTGGGGCCTTGGGGATTAAAGGTCCAGGGTCAGGAGTCAGGTAGATAGAGTTCTACCTATCACCCAAGGTCACATGGCTAGTAAGTTATTCAACTTTTCTAAACTTCACTCTTTAAATTGGAGTATATAGAACCTTCTTCTCAGGAATTGAGACAACTCATGTGAAATACTTGGTCTAGTGTCTGGCACATAATAAGAACTCAATGACTGGTCGATAGGACATAACTTATTTATGTGGCTCTAAGGGGGAGATTTGCAAGCTGTACTATTTTGGGTTCATGGAACGCTTTCCTAACGTGTAAAGTTGTCAAATTTGGATTGAATTGCCTCGTGGGCAGTGAGATCTCCATTTGAGCTGATCTGAGACGAACATTTCTTAGCATGTTTCAAGGGATCTATATAGGGTGGAGCAAGAGGACTGACCTGATCTTGGATTCCTTCCATCTCCAGGGCTTCATTAACCTTGGCACCAGTGAGAACAAGCTCTGCATGGATCTGATGACTGAAAGAGTAAGGATGTTCTGGGCTATGTTGGGACCCGCCCCCTCCCCCTAGCGTGCTCCTCAGCTGTGGTAGATACAGGGGTGAGACATAGGAGCTGGGAAGAAGAGTGAAGAAATAGCTTCTAGAATAGCACATTTAACCTCCTGGCCTTGCTGACTGTCCAGAGGTATTCTCTGATTAGGTATATGGTGGGAAGGTTGCTATGGGAACCTCTGGGTCAAATACTTCCCAGTGAGGTATCTACTTGTGTAATTTATGACAAGATGGTAGCCTCCATTCATTAAGGAGCACTCAGTGTGTATACCCATACCCTTTCTAGGCGGTCATGTATGTGGAGGGCAAACACTCTTGTATGAACTAGGAGTAGGATGAGGCCTCTTGGACTTCTCTGGCCTACCTGTTTTCATGTTCTATTTGTCAACAGTTGCAAGAAAGGGACATGAACTGCATTGAGGACGCCTTGCTGCAGTACCCTGATTGGAGAGGGCAGCCGTTGTAAGTGACTTTCAGATTTAGGGTCTCTTGGTCCCACAGGCAGCTGTCCTTATCCAGAAGGAGGATTCAAGGCACCAAATTCCTGGTTGGTTACCTCTCTGTCTCTTTGGGTAATAACGTCTAGAAAATGCCTAGAGCAAAACTTCATCAGGAGGCAGCCTGGTATAGTAGGAAGGGTTATTCCTGGTATAGTAGGAATAATTCAAAAGGCCCGAGTTCTTGTGCCAACTCTCACTTATTGTCTGTGTGACTTGGGGAGTTGATGGTCTCAGTCAGTAGCCCTGTGATATGAGGTTGGACTGGGTAGCAAAGGTCCCTATTAGGCTGGACAATGGCCATCTAGACCATGAGCAAGGAAAGGGGCTCAGGAACCACAAGGTCTCTCTGGGTCTGTTTACAGCCTGCGGGAAGAAGTGGCCCGGTTCCTGACCTGCTACTGCAGGGCACCTACCCAACTTGATCCAGAAAACGTGAGTCAGTTTCCCAGCCTTGCTGCCACCCTGGTGAAGGGCTATATTCTTGGAGGATGCTCTGCCCTTTCTAGGGGGTACAAGGAGAACCAGTGGAGACTCTCAGGGGCCAGGGCAGTGTGAAGGCCAATGTGTCCCAGCTGAGGAGGTTCCCTGTGCCTGTTCCGCCCAGGAGGATGGAGAAAGCATGGCTACCCCTTCTCACATAGGTATTGGTTTTGACTTCTGCCTCTCATGTGTCGTCTTCAGGTGGTGGTTCTAAATGGCTGCTGCTCTGTCTTCTCTGCCCTGGCCATGGTTCTGTGTGATCCAGGCGGTAAGTCAGTGGGCTCTGCTTTCCCTCTCAGTGAAATACTAGCAACATGGGTAGGAACACACAGGCACTGGACTTTGAGGAAGAAGAGCATCCTGACTCAAGGCCTTTTCCCCACAGTGGTGGGCCTTTTCCCACACTGACTAGGTTATCTTCCTATTTCTGTGAGAGCAAGGGGTTTGGATTCTCCATTTAATGGAAGAGAGACCATGATGGACCTCAAGGAGGTATGCCCCAGGAATGATGATGGGGGCCTACCTACTATGTTCATGGCTGGGCTTTTGGGCTCAGCTGCAATACAGAGAGCCATGGCAACGGGCTCAGACAATATAGATTTCTTATCTCTTCAGAAAAAGGTTAATTAGTCCTGTACCAAACAAGGTTGAGTGGACTGTTCTCAACCTCCCCTGTAACAATGCTTAAGCAAGAGGCTCCAATGTTAAAGAGCTCTGGATGCATCAAAAGAAGTGGTTAAGATAGTCCCTTTCATGCAAAGGAGCTTCTCTTAACTCATCAGTAAGGCCAAATGGATGGGAAGAAAAGAAAGTGAGATCCCCAGGTCCAAACAAGGAGCCCTCCTTGCACATGGACCTTGACCTCTGATATTTGGCCTGGATCAGTTGAGACTTTCCTAATAACCATTGCTGCATCTGCTAGTGAGCCTTGCTTAACTTGTGCCCTGGATTCTGAGTTATTCAGTGATATTCTTCCCTCTTCTTCTCTAATATACCTGCAAAGAAGAAACTAGAGTTTTGTTTCCCCCAGTGATGTCTATAATAATGGATAACTTTCATAGCACCTGAACCTAAGAACATTAATCCCCAGGTAGAAAGGATCGTGAAACTGACTTTTTTTTTTTTTTTTGTTTTTTTTTGGTCAACAGCTTTGCTAGTTTGGGGAGCCTGGCAACAGGCTCTGATTGGGAGACTTTGAAATGATGGCTCTGTCTCTCTGTTTCCAGAGGCCTTCCTGGTCCCTGCTCCCTTCTACGGTGGCTTTGCCTTTAGCTCCCGCCTGTATGCAAAGGTTGAGTTGATTCCTGTCTACCTGGAGAGTGAGGTCTGAATGGGGCCCCTTCCCTGCTCCATACACCTAGACAATGGACTGTTCTGGGGACACTTAAAGGGGTAGAGAGGGGCTTGCTTTCTACCCATCTAAGTGGTTGGGTAGGGGTGGAGAAGGCACGTGGACTAACACTCTGGTTTGAAGGCAGAGGATTATCTGGGGCTTATGGGAATGAGGAATCAAGGCTTAGACTTTAAGAGACACTTCTCACATAATGTTTCTCTTCCAGGTCACTGTTACAAACACCCAACCTTTCCAGCTCACTGTGGACAAGTTAGAGGAAGCCCTGCTTGAAGCTAGGTTTGAGGTAAAGAGGGAACCATATTTTTAGGATGGCCACTGCTGGTCCCGAAAGGGGTTTGAGTATTGAAACTCTGGTGCTGCTTGTTCACCAAGACCTGGTGGGCTGTCCTTAGTTGGAAGAGACAGTGAATGATCCAGGGGTGTGTCCCTCTAGATCCCTGAGTCCTATGGGGATGTTATAGCAGCCCCAGACTTCCTTCCTGTTCCCCCTCTTTGGGCAGTAGAGTAGTTGCTGCTTCAAGACCCTACTTAGGCCTTTTAGGGTGCCTGACCTGTAAAAGATCCTTGTTTGAATTTAGGGTAGATGCAAAGGACTTGTATTCACTCAGTTATATTTGGGTTTTTCTTAGGGGAAAAAGGTCCGAGGCCTTGTGCTAATCAACCCTCAGAATCCTGTGGGTGACATCTACTCCCCAGACTCACTAATGAAATACTTGGAATTTGCCAAGAGGTATGAGTTCCACCCCTTGAGACTAGGTAATGTTCCTTGAAAGGATTCCCATCACTTATAGTCAAGTAGTCAGGAGCCAGATCTGGTGGCACATGCCTGTAATCCCAGCACTTTGGGACACGGAGGCAGTGGATCACTTGAGGTCAGGAGTTCGAGAACAGCCTGGCCAACAGGGGGAAACCTTGTCTCCACTAAAAATACAAAATTAGCCAGGCATGGTGGCGGGCACCTACAATCCCAGCTACTTGGGAGGCTGAGACATGAGAATTACTTGAGCCGGGGAGGAGGAGGTTGCAGTGAGCTGAGATCGTGCTCCAGCCTAGGCAACAGAGTGAGACTTTGTCTCAAAAAGTAATTTACCCTAAATATTCTCACTATACACCATACTTTGCAGAGTTATATAAAACTAACTGAAATTAAAATGAAGGAAAACGCAATCACATACTTACCACTTCAAATTTTTGCCATTTCCTTTCTAGCCTCAGCCTATGTATTGACATTTACATAACAGTCAAAATATAGTTTTGTTTTCTGAGAAATATGTCACTTAAAAATATATAATTTGTTACTTTTCTACTTAAGCTTAAGTACTTTCTCCCAGCATCCATTTCGGAAGCCACTTGGGCTGGAATGCCGAGGAAGACACTCTCAGACCTTGTGGGATGAAGACGTGTTCCTACAGAGCTTCACGTTCCTTTCTAAGAGCAAGTTAACCTTAGTTTTCTCTGGAGTCCTGAAATAGTCCTATTACTTAAGGCAGATAACCTTCCATTTTCCATAAGAAGCAGACTTAGTCAAACTTCATGACTAACCCAGACCAATGAATGGTGCAGCGTGGGGTCAGGAGGAAAAATGCTAGAGAGGCGGCGGTAGCAAGAATTGGCTAGAATGGTTTCACCTCCCAGCGTCATAGCACCTGGACTGAATTGCACATTTCAGCCTAAGGCCTAGTTTCTTTTTATTTCTTTTCTTTTTGCGCTTTTTCTGTTTTTTTTTTGTTTTTTTGAGACAGAGTCATGCTCTGTCACAATACCAGCTTAATTTTGCTTTTTTGAGTATAGACAGGGGCTTGGTACATGTTGTCCAGGCTGCGTTCTTGGAACTCGCTGACGTCATGATCCACCCGCCTCGCCTCCAAAGTGCTGGGATTACAGATGAGCCACGGGCCAGCCGGCCTTAGTTTCTCAGTCTGAACATGAGATAGAACAGTAGTGACGATTGTTGAGAATGAAACGAGGGCCACATAAGCAGTTAGGGAGCTTCCTGACTCTACCAGTTACAATTATCGGGGGCTACCCAACGGTGGTGTCCCGTGTGCGTGCTGGCTTGATCGGTTGAATGGTTGGCGTAAGTTAGACAATAGTGTTCTCGAATGTGTCTTTTGTTCCTATTTCGTTCTCATTACCCCAGCCTACGGGTCTAAGGGTCCCTTCGTGGCTGTACCACCCCGATCTACCGGGTTACTATGCCCCTTTGCGAGGGGTTAGATGGGCTGCTGGAGGCGCCAGGAGTAGGAATGCGATAGATCTGTGCCAGAGAACACTATCAAGACATAGACTTAAGGATTCAAACGATGCTTGTAAAAAGCATGTGCTAAGAAAAGGGCTAGAGATTAAGCTAGACTTATTGCTTCTTTCTCTAATCTACACGTATAACCTGCATGTGGGGAGGTGGAAGTGAGAGGAGGTGTGGGGGGTAGTGTGGTGTCTGGTGTGTTGGGGATGGAGTCCAGGTCACCAACTGTCGGGGTGTTCTGAGCGTGAAAAGGGTGAGTTGGGGGGTCTCGGAGGGCGGGAGTTGTGGGAACGAGAGCCACGAAAGCGTTCGTTGGTTTGCGGATTGGGGTGAGGTTTGATGTGACATTCGCTGTAACTCGAGTTCCGTAGGCACAGTGCGCAGGGTTAGACGGGTGCTCGACAGGGGCTAGTGAGGGTGGCGGAAGGGTCGAGAGAGGGCATCATCTCTTCCCCCACAATGTTTCGTGAGGTCTATGATGGCGCGATTTTGTATACAATAATTTGAGGTCAAGGTAGAAAGTCTACCATCAAAGGTCAAAATAAAGCCTCATAAAATGCCAGGGTAGGAGCTTCTTGATAAGTAGAGCACAGGGAAAGAAAAAGGAGGCAGAACCTTCTGAAGGGTAGTATCCGGCCCTAGAGATGGGATTGCAGCATTCAAAGCAAGGGAATGAAATGCCTGGCAGAAGGAACAGCTTCACCAAAGATGGAGCAGTAAGAAATATTCAGGCATGTTCTAGAAATGATGGTGACCCACATCTGAAGAGCCAACTGCCAGGAAGGTAGCTTTGGCCAAGCTGTAGGACAGCCACATGTCAGGCTGAAGGCCCTAGACTTCATTCAGTGGGCACTTCGGTTCTGTTCCCTCTAGGTCTTCAGGGATACCGTGTGTTGACTTCCTGGCTTAACTGGGACAACTGTTTCTTGAACGTTGGGCCCTGTAGGCCCTGCTGTCTAGGAAGAACCTCAAGTCCACTTTCCCCTCATATACCCCAAATCTTCATCAACTATTTCTCTATAACCTTAGTTATTTTTTCCATTTCTTCTTCAGTTTGCCTGATCGCAACAGGACCCATGTGATCTGGGGTACCAGTAAGGTGAGTCATTGCTTTCTCTCCTGGGCTAGCGAAGGAGGAGGAACCGGGAATAGAAGGCAGACAAAACACTTGTTCCTGTTCCTACTTTTCTTCCTCTAGGATTTTGGCATCTCTGGCTTCCGCTTTGGTGCTCTGTATACCCACAACAAGGAGGTGGTCTCTGCTGTGAGTGCCTTTGGCTACCTCCACAGTATTTCTGGCATCGCACAGCACAAGCTGTGTCAACTGCTCCAGAACACAGGTACTGAGCTCTAGCACAGGCCAGCATGTTGGCTGGATGTCATGGCAATGGGGAGTTCTTGGATTTGCTTGGGTCTCTGATGTGCCCTTAATATACTGAGACCCTATGTGCTGTCTCAGATTTAACTGTGGTAAGACGTGAAGTTTGAAGGAGGGTAAGATAGGGCAGATAACACAGCAGGGTATAGACAGAAGATGGAGGTGCTGTTTTAAAACACAGAACGAGGCCAGGTGTGGTGGCTTACGTGTGTAATCCCAGCACTTTGGGAGGCCAAGGTGGGCAGATCACTTGAGGTCGGGAGTTTCAGACCAGCCTGGCCAACAAGGTGAAACCCGGTCTCTACTAAAAATGCAAAATTTAGCCAGGTGCAGTGGCGCACGCCTGTAATCCCAGCTACTTTGGGGGCTGAGGCAGGAGAATCTCTTGAATACAGGAGGCAGAGGTCGCAGTGAGCTGAGATCGCGCCATTGCACTCCAGTCTCGGTAGAAAAAGTGAAACTCTGTCTCAGAAAACAAAAACAAAAACAAAAAACCACAGGATGAGCTTAATTTCTGGATGTCTGGTAGCTTGTGTTCTGCCTAGAGGTGGGATGGCTAATCCTACTTTAAGTTGTAAAGGTAGGAACTTCAGAAATTAATCTTTATGTGAATATAGATTTTCCGTCCCCAAAACTGTTTGCTTTAGACAAAGATTATAAAACCAGAAACAAAACAAACACCCTGACTCTTCTAATACAACATAATTTCATCTTCCAAGGTGGCCAAAGGAGAGCTGCCATTTGGGCAAGTTGGTGTGGCTAGGCCTGTGGCACCTGGATTCATCATCCCCTCACTTGGATCTCAAGTGAATGCTGGCCTCAGAAGGGACTTTCGCCTTTAAAGCCATGGCCCAAGCTTAGAGACTCATTTTTTTTACTTCCCTGTAATAGAACAGATACGAAGCTGGAAGTTTTAATTCATGAAACAAACGAATATCATTATATTTGCTGGTTTAGAAAACAATTTGCTTTCAGGTCTGGGACGGGAGAGAGGTAGACAGGAGCAATCCAACTGAATGCTTCCATAGATATCAAGACCTTTGATACTTGGCAGAAACCAGATCCCAGCCCCTTGAACGCTGGTCCTCAATCTTGGATGGACATGGGAGTTTCCCAGGGAGCTTAAATACTGACATGTGTTCCATCTTCAAAGATCCTGATATAGCCTGAGCTATATCAGATATATAGTCTGAGCATCAGGGCTTCTAATAGTTCCCCAAGTGGTTCTGTTCTATGAATGCTGAGGGCGACTGGCCAAGAGCATCCCCGGGCACACATATATTCCTTCAACTCCATTGTATGAGACTCAAATTCGGGTGGTAGGAGCTGTGAGTCCCTGCTGCTTGCCCAGTTAACAACAGCAGCATCAACCCCTATTAGGGGATTGACTCCTTGCCTCAGGGCTGTGAACTCAGAGAACTTTCCTACTAGACCTTTGAGAAGCCCAGTGTCTTTACCAGAGCCTTAGATAAGAGGTGGGTGTATTGGGTGTGGACACCATTAGCTCAAATATGCTAGAGTTAGTCTTAGAAATAGCTTGTGGGGTGCAATGGTTAACACCTAAAATCCCAGGACTTTGGAAGGCCAAGGCAGATGGATCACTTGAGGCCAGGAGTTTGAGACCAGGCTGGCCAACATGGTGAAACGCCGTCTCTACTAAAAATACAAAAATTAGCTGGGTGTGGTGGCGTATGCCTGTAGTCCCAGTTACTTGGGAGGCTGAGACATGAGAATCGCTTGAGCCAAGGAGGTGGAGATTGCAGTGTGCCAAGATTGTGCCATTGCACTCTAGCCTGGGTGACAGAGGGCGACTCTGGGGTTTTTTTTTGTTTTTGTTTTTAAACAAACAAAACAAAAACAACAAACTTGCATGAAGCCCAGGAAGGAAGCATTTGGGAAGGAACTCTCGGTAGATTTCTGTAGTAGTATCTATGACAATGTTTTTCCTCTACCCATCCAGAATGGATTGACAAAGTGTACCTACCCACCAATTGCTACCGGCTCCGGGAAGCTCACAAGTACATCACTGCCAAGCTGAAGGCATTGGAGATCCCCTTTCACAACAGCAGCTCTGGCCTCTATGTCTGGATCAACTTGAAAAAGGTGTGTTCTGGGAATCAGGACAGGTGTTCTTGGGCAGACCTGCCCGCTGGGTCTTGGGCTCAGCTCTGTTCCTGTGCCCTCCCTAGTACCTGGATCCCTGTACATTTGAAGAAGAACGGCTCCTCTATTGCCGCTTCCTGGACAACAAGCTGTTGTTATCCCGTGGCAAAGCCTACATGTGTAAGGAGCCAGGCTGGTTCTGCCTCATCTTTGCAGATGAGCTCCCCCGGCTAAAATTGGGTGAGTGGAGCTGGCCTCCCAATCCTTTAAAGATGCCCCATCAACTTAATATCTCAATCTTCTCCCCATCCTTAAACATCCTATAGATCTAGCCCTTTATTCACTGTTTCCATGTCTATCTTTAGTTAAGTGCTTTTGCAAACAAGAACTGATATGTACCGCAAGCACCTATCCATTCATTACCCATTTGGGGTATCTGTTCTGTGACTGCCATTGAGTGAGGCATTGGGACAACAAGCTAAAGAGTACTATTCTGAGGCCGGGCTCAGTGTTTTATGCCTGTAATCCCAGCACTTTGGGAGGCCGAGGCAGGCAAATCATGAGGTCAGGAGTTCGAGACCAGCCTGGCCAGCATGGTGAAACCCCGTCTCTACTAAAAATACAAAAAATTAGCCAGGCATGGTGGTGTGCGCCTGTAGTCCCAGCTACTCGGGGGTGCTGAGGCAGGAGAATTGCTTGAACGTGGGAGGTAGAGATTGCAGTAAACTGAGATTGCACCACTGCACTCCAGCCTGGGCGACAGAGTGAGACTCCATTTAAAAAAAAACACAAACAAACAAACAAAAACAAAAAAAGTAGTACTCTGCCCTTGTGGGGCTGCCAGGCTAGTAAGTGAGATGGATAGGCAGGTGACCATGGAAGTCCCTGTATGCCATACTAGAGAGTTTAGATTCTCCTCTGAGGTTATAGAGAATAGGACATTCGTGTGAACATTTATTTATTGCATTCCACTACATGCCAGATGCTGTTCTACCTGCTGGGAATATAGCAGTGAATCGTTCATTTTCATGAAGGGTTTTGTTGCAGAATTCTTTTGAGCTAGCACAGAAGATAGGCTGAGTGCAGAGACACTAGAGGCAAATAGAAATCCTAATTAGGCCAAGGCCATAAGCCCCAGAGTACAGGCTTTGATACGAGATACTGAGATGTCTCGCAGGCTGACATAACAATGATATTCAAAAAGAAATCAGGGATGTAACATGTAGACTTGGAAGCCCATCCCAAAGATGGGAGGGCTGAAGTTCAGGATCCCTGAATGAGAGGCTTTTATGGTTGACCATGACCTGGATCTGTCTGGGACCCACCTGCAAACCCAGTAAATCACTATTTCTCTCTGTCCCCATTTGGACCCTCTAGCCATGCGTCGGTTCTGTGACGTGCTGCAGGAGCAGAAGGAGGCTTTGATAGTGAAGCAGTTGGAGGATGCAATGAGGGAGTAGGCCGTCTGCCTCCCAACCAGCAGTTCCAGCCCGTCACTTGCTCAGGGACCCACTAATGTCAGCCTCTGGTCCAGAAGGCCAGGGTGTCTTTTTGTCAGTGTTGTGATGGAGAAAATGGTGGGCTCCTCCAGGAAGATCTCATCTGACCCAGTCGTCACCCTCCTGAAGCTGAGTGTCTGCTGTCTTTGGAAGCTTTCCATCTTTTTAGTCTTTGCTATCCATTATATATGCAACATGTTTTTATTGGGGTTGGGGTAGAAAGACCTAGAGACACCTAGAGAAATAAAGGAAGTTCTCTGGGCCCCTATTTAGATGGTTTATTTTTATATTCAGTACCTAATAAATTCTATACTTTTAAATTCTAGGCCCATCTTATTTTCTTGCTTATATTCTTCATAATCATCTTTGGAAGCCAGATGATTTTCTGTCCTCTTTAATTTTTAAATTCTAAGGCAGGTTCCATGTAAAGAATACTGTCTAGAGCAGGCAAGAAAAAGAAAGAAGTCATCCTTAACTGATGGGCCATTTTCCAGGTGTTGGACACAATGTTCTATAAGATTCTTATGAAATCACATCCACTTCCACATGACCTGCTAAGAGGCAGGTGGGAGTGTAATTGCAGGTATTCCTGCTTCCAAATACTAGAGTTTGCTCTACTTTTACCTTCCCAAGAGGCTTTTAAAGTCTCTTGTTGCATACGGTGGCTCAAGCCTGTAATCCCAGCACTTTGAGAGGCTGAGGCCAGAGAATGGCTTGAGGCCAGGTGTTCGAGACCAGCCTGGGCAACCGAGACCCTGTCTCTACAAAAAATAAAATTAACTGGGTGTGGTGATGTGTGCCTCTAGTCCAAGCTATTCAGGAGGCTGAGCTGGGGGGCTCACTTAAGTCCAGGAGGTCAAGCCTGCAGTGGACCATGATCGTGCCACTGCACTCCAGCCTGGTGATAGAGTAAGACCCTGTCTCAAAAAAAAAAAAAAAAGTCTGATAAACTTGGTGTCTTAGTCCCTTTTTGATGTGAAAATATCACAAAGTGGATAGCTTAGAAACAAATCTTTCTCACAGTTCTGAAGGCTGGAAAGGCCAAGTTCAAGGCCCTGGCAGATTTGGCATCTGGTGAGGGTCCCATCTTCCCAGTATCACCTCATGTGGCAGAGGGGTGAGAGGTCTCCCTCCGCCTTCATGACCTAATCACCTTTCAAAGGGCTCACCTTCTGATACCATCACCTTGGGGGTTAGGATTTCACATATGAATGTTGGGGGGACACATTCAGTCCCTAGCATCTGGGGTTGTCCATTTCCATTTCTAGTGTTTTCAGCTGTTCAAATCACACCGCCCATCAGTTTCTCTGCAAAGCCCTTGCACATCAGAGCACTGATGCTGTGACGTGGGCAGAGAAGGGACTACTACCATTTTATGGATGAAGAAAGAGCTCACAGTACCAACTGGTGACTTTAGTCACTTGGATTTGTGGCTGTACTTGCTCCGAATCCAAATTTGTTTACCTTCATTGTCAGTTTGCTTGTGTTGTTGTTGTTGGGACAGAGTCTCAGTCGCCCATGTTGGAGTGCAGTGGCGCAATCTCAGCTCACTGCAACCTCTGCCACTGGTTCAGCGATTCTCCTGCCTCTGCCTCCTGAGCAGCTGGGACTACAGGCATGCACCATCTCGCCCAGCTGATTTTTATATCTTTAGTACAGACAGGGTTTTACCATGTTGGCTGGGCTGGTCTCAAACTCCTGACCTCAAGTGATCCACCTGCCTCGGCCTCCCAAAGTGCTGGGATTACAAGCTGAGCCACCGCTCCTGACTGATACTGTTCTTTTTTTAAAAAAAACTCTAGTATAATATTGAATAAAAGTGGTTGAGAGGACAGCTTGCCTTGTTCTCAGTCTTAGCAGCATCGAGTGCAATCTTCTGCTCTTGAGTATGTTACTGTATTTTCATTCTGCCCCTTATCCAACAAAGTTTCCTTCTATTACTAGTTTGCTGGGAGTTTTACCATGTATGAGGGTTCAATGTTGTTAGATGTTTTCAATCTGCATCTATAGAGATATGATTTTTCTCTTATCAGTGTGGTAAATTACACTGATTTCTTAATGTTAAAGCAACTTCACATTCTGCAATAAACCCTGTTTGGTCATAATGCATTGTCCTTTTACATACCACCGACTTTGGTTTGCTATTTTAAGAATTTTACATTCAAGAGAGACATCATTCTATATATATATATTTGTAATCAATTGTTAGTTTCAATATCATGATTAATACTGGTTTCATAGATGTTTGTGAAACTGTGCTTTCCTCAATTTTCTAGAAGTTTGTGTCCAAAAACTTCTTCAACTTTTACATGTTTGGTTGAATTCAGCTTTAAAACCATAAGGGCCTGGAGTTTTTTTTTGTTTTGTGTTTGTTTTTTGTGGGACGGCTTTTACTTATAAATTCAATTTCTGTGACAGTTCAAGTTTTCTATTTCTTGTATCGGATTTGGTTATTTGTGCCTTTCAATAAAGTTTGTCTATTTCATCTAAGTTTAATTATTGACATAAAATTGGTTATAAATATTCTGTTATCCTTTTTAATATATATATAGGACCTTTAGTTTTATCTGCTTTTCCTTTCCTGATAATGAAATTGATACATGCAGGAGGGAGATAACGGGGAGGGTCTCTGGAGAATCTCCAACCCATCTGTGCACTGGGAGAACAAGATGGAGCCAAGGGAAGCTGCGGCCATGCTCAGAGGGGAGGAGCCTGGCCTCTGCAATTCCTGTGTGGTGGCCTGGGATTCAATCTGTGAGTTGGGGGCCCGTTAGCAGGAACCCCTCTTGCTCTGCTGAGAGTATTTTTCTTTCTTCCTTTTCGCCCAGTAAATTCCGTTCCCCTCACCCTTCAATGTGTCCGTGTTCCTAATCCTTCCTGGTGGTGTGACAAGAACCCGGTTTTAGCTGAACTTAATTTTTGGATCAGTCAATCTGTTTATCAATTGTATTGAACTTTTCAAAGAACCAACTTTCGGTTTTGTTGATTTTTCTCTATTGTTTCTCTTTCATTTCTGCTCTTTATTTCTTCCTATTTACTCTGGATTTAATTTGTTCTTTTTTTTCTAGCTTCTTAATGTGGAAGCTTAGATCATTTGTTTTAAGTCGGTTTCAAATATATGCATTACAAGCTATTCATTTCTCACTTAGCATTATTTTAGCTACATTCCATAAACTTTGATCTGCTGGTTTTTAATCATTCAAAATATTTTCTAATTTCCCTTGTGATATCTTTTTTGAAATCAATGGTTTGCTTAGCATATGTAACTTAGTTTCCAAATACTTGGGGATTGTTCAGCTTTCTTTGTTAATGATTTCTACTTTAATTTCATTGTGACTACAGAATGTACTCTACGGTTTCAATCCTTTGCAACTTATTAAGACAGTTTATGGCCAGATTTGTTTATAGCATGTGGTCTATCTTAATGTTTCATTTGCATTTGAAAAGTATATTCTGTGGCATTGGGGATGGTGTTCTATAAATGTCAATTAGATTAAATTTTTGTATAATGTCCAAAACTTCTGATCCTTAGTGTCTTTTGATCCATTTATTCTATCACTGAGAGAGTGGTATAAAAATTTCCAATTATAATTATGAACTTGTCTTTTCTCTTTTTCGTTCTGTCAGTTTCTGCTTCATGTATTTTGAAGTTTTGTTATTAGGAGCATAAACTTTTAAGATTGTCATCCTGATGAATTAATCATTTTATTATAAAATGCCCCATTTTATTTTTGTTAATCATTTTTGTCTTGAAGCCTACTATGTCAGATACCAATATGAACACAACAGCTTTTTAAATGATTATTATTTGCTTGGTATTTTTTTTTCCCATTTTTACCTTTGACCATTTGGTTTTGTATTTAAAGTGTGTCTCCTGCACACACCATATGCTTGATTCTTGCTGTTTTATCCAGTCTGATCTTTTAATTGATCTTTAGTCAATTCACATTTAATGTAACGTGTGTGTATGTCTTCTACGTAGGACAAATGCCTGTGTTTGTTGTTTGGTGGGGTTAAATCCCCCTGCTGTATGCTTCCATGGTACCCAGGAAATAGTATTTTTTAAATAGTCCCCACATTGTAAGTCGGCCTTCCCAATCAGTCATGCAGGCTTTGGTTTGTCTTGCTCATCACCGTATCCTCGCACTTTACAGAGACCTGGCATATAACAGGCGTTCACTGAGATGTGAATTACATAAAGTTAAGATTTAAATAGAGGGAAATGATGGCTTCCTTATCTTATAGAAGAAAACATTCAGGGCCAAAAAAGTCATGAGAGTTGCTCGAGGTCACAGTGTTAGCTAGTGGCAAGGTAAAAGTGAAGACAAGAAGTGGAATGGCCAGAAGACAGCCATGCCTTCCCAGCCATACCTGTATTGAGAGATTCTGCTTATATCCTTCCATGGGGAAAGAAGACTTTCCCATTCAAGGCACCTCGGAGATTGCAGCGCTACCTGGGACTGGGTGCCCATTGTACCCATTGCCAGAATATGTAGATCTTAGGGCAAAGTTTGAAAAATACTTTTAAAATTATATATATATGTAATTTTTTGTTGTTTTTTGTTTTTAGACAGAGTTTGCAAATACCCAGGTGGGAGTGCAGTGGCACGATCATATTCACTGCAGCCTCTACCTTCTGAGCTCAAGTGATCCTTGCACCTCAGCCTCCCAAGTACCTGAAACCACAGACACATGTCTGGCTAATTTACAAAAACCTTTTGGCTGAGAATGGTGGCTCACGCCTGCAATCCCAGCACTTTGGGAGGCCGAAGCGGGTGAATCACGAGGTCAGGAGTTCAAGACCAGCCTGGCCAATACAGTGAAACTCCGACTCTACTAAAAATACAAAAATTAGCCAGGTGTGGTGGTGCACGCCTGTAGTCCCAGCTACTCCAGAGGCTGAGGCAGAAGAATTGTTTGAACCCGGGAGGCGAGGGTTGCAGTGAGCAGAGATCCTGCCACTGCACTCCAGCCTGGACGACAGAGCGAGACTCCGTCTCAAAAAAAAAAACAAAAACACAAAAACCTTTTTTTGGTAGAGACACGGTCTCCCTATGTTGCCTAGGCTGGTTTCAAACTCCTTGGTTCAAGGGATGGTCCCACCTTGTCCTCTCATAGTGTTGGGCTTACAGGCGTGGGCCAGCACGCCTAGCCAGAGTTCAACAAGTGTTGCAGCCACATGTGGGAGACCAGGACATGCCTCCCCAAAACACGAAGGATTGTGCTAAAGACAAGCAGCAGCAGATTCAGGAAAGCTCTCTACCCTGGCCCTTTTTGCCTAAAAGTAGGACATAGGTTTACAAAGACAAAAGGTATCCTGTCCCTCTGTCTACCTGGGAGAACAAAGACTACTTCAGACCCCTATGGCCTGGAGATGGTATCAGAGGAATTTACGTTAACAAGCTTGACTAACTGGCCTTTGTTTTGGTTTTTTTTTTTTTTTTTGCCTTCTCACACGTTGCCTCCTGGACTCAAAGTCCTATTTCTTTGTCTTGTAACTTAAAAAAATTACGGTTCTTTGTTGAAGATGCTATAAAACATGGAATTCAAAGTCACCTCTTCCAGAACGACTCATTCCCTTCGTATTTCTCATGTATAAATGAAATATACATGTCAGTAAATCTGTGTTTGTTTTTCTCTTGTTAATTTGTCTTTTGTAACAGGAGTCTCCCCCAACTAAGAACCTATGAGGGCTAAAGAAAATCCCCTACAAATAAAAGGGGCATAAATGACAAGCTGCGATGAAAGGCCACAAGGATGCTCACACCCGAATCTAAAAAGCGCTTTGTGGGGGCCGCAGCCAAGCATACTTTGGCCAAGAAATTTCTGTGGCTGTAACCTCCTTTGAAAACTGGAGAACCAAGGCCAGGTGGCAGAGGGAGGTGACTGACCCCACCTGGCCCGGCGGCGGCCCCGCACGCGCAGGCCACCCAGAGTGGAGGTAGGAACCGGCGCTCCGCCCCTTCCTCGCTGAAAGGGGCCCCTTTCCCTTTTCCCGGTCCCGCGGTCAGACCTCGAGTGTGACCCTTAAAGCGTAGGCCCCGCCGAGACGGCACCCGGCCTGAGCGGCGAGGGAACAAACTGCGCCCTGAGCAGGCCAGGAAGCCCGGCCCGGGGCAGACGGCCCTCAGTTTCCTAGTCCGAGCGCAGGGCGGCGCTGTCCTCACCCGCGCGTAACGAGCCGGACGGAGGGCGTTTACCGGCGGAAGAAACCGACACGTGATGCGCGCCTGCAGAGTGCCAGCTCCTCCAGCTCCGCCAAGTAGGTGGGATCCCCTACTTTGCAGAGGAGGAAGCCGTTCAGGCCTCCCTGTGTGCACTTTGCAAACGCCTCTGCCCTTCCATCTCGAATCCCTTGGCACCGATCGCACTTCCTTCGCCTGGAAACCTGGAGTCTCTCGCGAGACATCCTCCGCCCTGTAGAAGGCCGTTTCGGTTCTTCGTGCGCGGTAGCCGCCCCACTTGCGGGATTCCAAGGCCTGCCTAATCGGGCGCCGGTGTGTCTGGCTGTGGATTCGCCGCCGTCCCACTGGACACCTGGAGGCTCGAACCCCGCCGCTCCCAGATCCCAGGCTTTGCTCCCACCCCGGCTTCCGCCCACGGTGCTGCACTTCCTCGGACCTGGGCTGTCGGGAGAGTCGGAGGTGAGCGCACTCGGGGGAGCCCCGCCGATTTAAAGAGTCCCCTTGAGAAGACTTTGCAGAGGAAAATTTAACTGCGGGTACCCCCTGAGTTTCTGGTGCACCCGGTGTATCAGAGCTTGTGTTGTGCATCAGGACTGGAAAATTGGCAAGGAGTTACTTATGCTCTAATGACTCATATTTTATTGAACTTTTGTCATCAGCCAGGATTTGTTCTAAGTACTTTATTGTCACTAACCCATATGTTTGTATCTTCACGGCCAAACCGAGGTGATTACTGTTATATCCACTGTGCAGATGAGGAAACTAAACTGGCTTAGAGAAGTGAAGGAGTTCACGCCCGCGGGCAGGAGTAGACCACCCTCTCCTTGGTGTCCACACCTCTTAAAGACTGAAGAGGCAGTCACTGGAGCTCTGCCTGGGGTGCCTGCACTTATGGAGACCCCCATTCCTCCCTCCCCTCGGTTCCCACCCACTATCCGCCTCAGACTGCCACATGATCTCATCCTACCCTTTACACCACAAGACCCCCAGGACTCCCAGGCGATGCTCTGCTTTAACTCAAGAAATTTTAACCTGGCATTTGGTAATTGAGGTGAGCAAGGATGGAAGAAGAATGTTGATGACCCGTTAGGCTGCAGAGTGAAAAACTTACGCAGAAGTAGAACACGCTAAAGCAGCAATACATTAAAGTCATATAAATATGGCAAGTGCAGTCCCTGGCACATACTAGGTCCTTAACAGATTTTTCTTGTTGAAGTGATTGCACATATGGTTACAACTAAGGGACACAGGAAGTGATGAGTGCATAAGCCTAAAGGAAGGGAGGTTTTTGCATAAACCTAAAGGAAGGGAATAAGAGAAAGGGAACTCCCATGACTCCAACTCCTTTCTGATGCTTGGTGCTGTGGAAATCCCTTGAGCAGGCCTGTGAATTTTGTCTTTTTGCAGATGTTCACACTTCCTCAAAAGGACTTCAGTGCTCCCACCACCTGTCTGGGCCCCGCCTGCATGCAGGACCTGGGCAGTAGCCATGGGGATGATCTGGAAGGAGAATGCTCCAGAAAACTGGACCAGAAGCTGCCAGAGCTCCCTGGAGTGGGTGATTCTGCCATGCTCTCCCCTGATACCTCCTACCTGTCCTCTAGAGGAAGAATGATTAAATGGTTCTGGGATTCCGCTGAGGAGGGCTACAGGACCTACCACATGGATGAGTATGATGAGAACAAAAACCCCAGTGTGAGTGAAGCTCCCTTCCCACTGGCACCCGAGAGGGAACTGCAGGGCGGGGTACCCTACCTTGACCAATAAGACAGCATCCAGCCTGCTCTTGTGAGGTTGGAGTTACGGTCCTCTGACCTCCAAGAGGGTTTCTGATGTAGCTTAGAGAGGCTCCAGTGTACTGCCTGGATCAGGAAATGGTCCATTTGGAATACAGGGGACCTTGATTTGTGAGGGAGGAATTCAAGAGCCACACGATGTTCTTCTATGGATTCTGACCCATGACCTGTCAACTGTCCAACTTTAGAGCTAGGGCAGAACTAAGGTTCAGGTCGCAACTGTTTTACTTATAGGTTGTTTATTGCTGAGCTAGTTACTTCACTTCCTTGAATCTTAAATTATCTCTAAAATGAAATAATGACACCAGGCATGGTGGTTCACGCCTGTAATCCCAGCACTTTGGGAGGCTGAGGCAGAGGGAACACTTGAGGCCAGGAGTTTGAGAGCAGCCTGGGCCACATAGCAAGACCCCATCACCACAAAAAAATAAAAATAAAAAAATTAGCAGGGTGTGGTGGTGTGCACCTGTGGTCCCAGCTACTGGGGAGGCTGAGGTGGAAGGATTGCTTGAACCTGGAGGTCAACGCTATAGTGAGCCAAGATCACACTGCATTCTAGCCTGGGCAACGGAGTGAGACCCTGTCTCAAAATAACAGGAAACAGGCCGGGCGTGGTGGCTCACGCCTGTAATCCCAGCACTTTGGGAGGCCGAGACGGGCGGATCATGAGGTCAGGAGATCGAGACCATCCTGGCTAACCCAGTGAAACCCCTTCTCTACTAAAAAATACAAAAAACTAGCCGGGCAAAGTGGCGGGCGCCTGTAGTCCCAGCTACTCGGGAGGCTGAGGCAGGAGAATGGCGTGGACCCGGGAGGCGGAGCTTGCAGTGAGCTGAGATCCGGCCACTGCACTCCAGCCAGGGCGACAGAGCGAGACTCCGTCTCAAAAAAAAAAACAGGAAACAAACAAAAATAAAATAAAATGGGATAATAATACCTGCTGTGTAGAAGAGTCAAGATTAAATGAGAGCAAGTATATGAAGTTTTTAGCACAGTGCTACTCAATAAATGATAGCTGCTATTATTAATATTTTCTGTCCCCAATATAAGCTATTCTCATAATGCCTTCAGGAGTCAGAAAGCTGTTACAGTAACCCTTTAATAATCCTTATTTGTTGAGCATCTACCATATAGATGTGAACAGAAACAAAGTTCTGATCCTCATAGAGCTCATATTCTAGTTAGGGAGACAGACAGTGAATGGACAGAGAAAAAATATATATACTATATGGTGGTAAATACTATAGAGAAACATAAACCAGGGTAAAGAAGACAGAGAATGATGGGTGGGCTGGGGATGTTGCTATTAAGTAGAAGGAGGTCACAGAAGGCTATTTTAATAAGGTGAACATTTGAGCAGATACCTGGAAAAAGTGAGGGATTGTATTAGTTATCTATTGTTGCATAACAAATGACCTCAAATCTAGCAAGTTAAAACAACAGTGCATAATTTCTGGGGTTCAGAATCCTGGTGGATGCCTCAGGCTCAAGATCTTTTTTTTTTTTTTTTGTGATGGAGTGTTGCTGTGTCACCCAGGCTGGAGTGCAGTGGCACGATCTTGGTTCACCACAACCTCTGTCTCCCGGGTTCAAGTGATTCTGCCTCAGCCTCCCGAGTAGCTGGGATTACAGGCGTGTGTCACTGTGCCCGGCTAATTTTTGTATTTTTAGTAGAGATGGGGTTTTGCCGTGTTGGCCAGGCTGGCCACGAACTCTTGACCTCAGGTGATCTGCCTGCCTCAACCTCCCAAAGTGCTGGGATTACAGGCATGAGCCACTGCGCCTGGCCAAGCCACCGCACCCAGCCACAAGATCTTTTGTGAAGGTGCCATAAAGCTGGGGCTGTGGTCTCATCTGAAAGGTTGACTTGGGGCCAGGGGATTGGATGGGAGGCTCTACTTCCAATGACACTCTCATGCTTATTGGCAGGCTTCGGTTCTTCTCCATGTGGGCTTCTTCACAGAATTGCCTCATGACATGGTAACTGGATTCTCTCAGGGCAAGTGATTCAAGAGAGAATGAGAGGTCATGGGTGTCCAAGATGGAAGCCTTAGACTCTTTATAACCTAACTTCAGAAGTGACATCCCACCCCATCTGCCTATTCTGCTCATTAGAAGCACATTGCTAGGCCCAGCCCACACTCAAGCGGTGTGAATGCCAGGAGGCCGGGACCTAAGAGGCTGCCTGCCACAGGGAGTGAGCCATGCAGTTATCTAGGGAAGAGCATTCCCAGTAGAGGGGAAGAGCCAGTGCAAAGGCTCCAGGCTTGGTTCATGCTTGACGAGTTCAAGGGACAGCAGAGGGGCCACTGGAGCTGGAATAAAGCCAAAACCAAGATGGGCAGGTGATGGGGTCAGAAAGGTGATGGGGTGGTGGAGGTCATAGATCCTGTAGGGCCCCAGAAGACCTGGTGAGCCTTCTGATTTTGGACAAAGTGGAATAAGAGGTATTCAAAGGAGGAGCAGTGTGGTCTGATTTGGGGTTTGGAAAGATGACTTGGACTGCTGTATGGAGATTTGACTTGGCAGGTAAGAGAATGCACAGAGAGAGGAGGGAAGCTGTTGTAATAATATAGACGAGAAATGATGGTGGCTCATACCAGGGTCCCAGCGGTGGAGGGTGAGACATGGTTGGACTGTGCATGTGTTTTGAAGTTGGAGCTGCCAGGATGTGTGAATAGATTGGCTGTGTTTGGAGGAGCTTCCCAGCTTGCTTCCCAGGGCATGAAGGAGCACTGCCTTTCATTCTGTCATAGTCTGAGCTCATTCAGGTTTTACTTTTCCATCTTCCTTCCTTCACTTCCCCTGCAGTAACTCAGGGGTCAGCAGTTAGCTGTGCGTCAGGCCTGCACCGAGTCTCCCTGGGGACTCTGTAAGGGAGAGCTCGGGTTATGCCTGTCAGCCTCTCCTGTGACAATAAATGCCTATGGAGTGGGGATCAAGGTATTGTGTAATGTTGCAGGGTCTCCTGGGGGAGTATTTGCACTGGCAAAGGAACCTCTTCTTGATCTACACCCACCTTTGCTTCTGTTCCTGCCAGACTGCCAATATACCCTCTGTCTTCTTTCATTCTGTAAATGTGTATTGAGTCCCACTAAGCCCCTCGAGAGACACGGCGGTGTCCTCAGCACACATCTGTCCTTCAGGGAGCTTACCTTCAGTACGGGAGATATGGTGTGTATGTCAATCTCTGTGACCTGGGGTGGAAACTGGCCAGTGCTCTAAAGGGTACAGATCAAGAGCTGTGGGATGCAGAAGAAAAGATCCCTTCCAGCTGGCATTATAGGGGGGACTTCCTGGAGGACATGGCGTTTGGACAGAGCTTTAGAAATGGAAAGATGGGATCAGGCAGCTGATCAGAAGGCACACCTTGAGCAAAGGCAAGGAGCGGTGGTTGAAAGGGTGGGGTTGTAGAGAGCTCCCATTTTGCTTTGCTGCCTCCATGGGCTCCTGGGGCCTTTCACTGGCACCCCCTGCCATGCTAACCCTGCCTCTGTACCTTCAGGGCATCATCAACTTGGGTGTCAGTGAGAACAAACTCTGCTTTGACCTGCTGTCCTGGCGGGTAAGTCCTAGGGCACCTCTGGGGGGCATCACTAGCTCCGAGGAGCTGTCTTCCCTGGGACGCTTTCCCAACAGGGGCCTGCTGCTTGGCTCAGTGGCCCTGGCCTGGGAATCAGGAGACCCAGGTTCCAGGCCTACCTTGGGACAGTTTTCTGCGTGTTCTTAAGTGAGTTACTTTCCCTCTCTAGTCCTATTTCTTCATCTCTGCAGACTCTTATTTCACTCAGTCCCTCCTGCTGTGTTGGGTCCCCTGATCTCAGAGGGAAACACTCAGTGCTTTGTGGTGTAGATATTTAGCAATTAGCTCTTCAGGGGGACAAAAATAAACCCCTGATGTGTAGCTTTGCCAATTTCCATAGTGTAAATACTCCCACCATGGCCAATTTCAACCTCCTCTTGTGATATCGCTGCAGGCAGAGTTGGAAGAGAGGTGCACGGGCACACTTAGGTAATATTTTCACCATACAGACACGTAGACAGAACTGACCTCAAAAGCATAGATAGTAAAAGGTACTAGCAAATCAGGAAGCGATGATGTTTGAGTGCTTATCACCTTTGTTTGTAAGATAATTTATTTCATTGTCCGTTTATATTAATTTGCTTTTTTAAAGTGGCTGTTTTAACACAGCTTGAAACATTTCTGAAATTTTATAATCTGATTTCTTGAGCTGGGGTGAGCCATCTTAGCAACCACTGACAATGTCTAATAAATGTGTCTCCCAAGGTGGCAGTGGCAGAGTTTGGGTTTGTAGAGACAGCAATGCTTAACCCAAAGGAACATATTTCCAAAGGTGAGAAATCTCAACCCCAAGGGGAAGGGCTTATAGGGAATATATTTAATTAATTTATTTATTTGAGATGGAGTCTCGCTCTGTTGCCCAGGCAGGAGTGTAGTGGCATGATCTCAGCTCACTACAACCCCCTCCTCCCGGATTCAAGCAATTCTCCTACCACAGCCTCCTAAGTAGCTGGGATTACAGGCACACACCACCACGCTCGGCTAATTTTTGTATTTTTGGTAGAGACAGGGTTTAATCATTTTGGCCAGGCTGGTCTCGAACTCCTGACTTCGTGATTTCCCTGCCTCAGCCTTCCAAAGTGCTGGGATTACAGGTGTGAGCCACTGTGCCCGGCCAGGGAATAGATTTTAAAGGCCTGTTTTACCTAAAGCCAGCTCCTTCTTCTCAGGCAGCTAAACACTGAAATAAAAGGTGAGCCACATATAGCAATTTAAATTTTCTATTAAAAAAATAAAAAAGATTCCAGGTAAAAATTAATTTTAATAATATATTTTATTTAGCCCAATATATTCAAAATATGACCATTTCAGCATGTCATCAGTATAAAAATTATTAATGATATATTTTACATACTTTTTTCCTACCAACTTTTCAAAATTCAGTGTGTCTTAATTCAGTTGAACCACATTTCAAATGCTCATTTGCCGCATGTGGCCAGTGGCTACCATATTGGACACTGTGGCTCTAAGGGAGGAAGGGAGAGAGGGCGAAGGCTGGACCCAGTTATGTAGAAGAGGCTGATTCCCTTTCTTCCTTTTGGCCCCAGTGCGCAAGGCCCCTGCATTGGCCCTTCTTTGACAAAGTGCCTACAATAGTAGGAGTTTCTAACCTAGCACCTGGTCATGGAGTAGGTGGTCTAGAAACTGCTATGTCTTCCAAAGTGTGAGGTCAAGGTGAGCTTACAGGAAGATAGTGGCCTAAGTCCCTGTAGAAGTTGGAGCCAAGACTGAGGTTCTAGCTCTCAGTCTTCTGTTGCCCCATGGAGATGCTGATCAGTGTGGTCTCCCGTTACTGCTTCTGCAAACCCACCCCTCCAATTTTTTAGGTGGCAGTGTTGTATAAAGAGTGCCAGACTAGGAGTCAAAAATTTGGGGTTTTTGTCTCAGCTCTGCCACTTGCCAGCTCTGTGACCTTGGCTGAGTGACCTCATTTTTTTGGACCTCAGTTTCCTCACCTGGAACATGGGTATGAGAAAGCTGTCACTGTCTGCGCCTCTCACGGTTTCTCTGATGAGCAGAACAAGCATTCAGCTTTACCTGCCCTGTGCTGTGGATGCAGGCAGCAGTGCCGGCCCTCAGCCCCGCTCTTCCCTGTCTGTCCCCAGCTGAGTCAGAGCGACATGCAGAGAGTGGAGCCGTCCCTGCTGCAGTACGCTGACTGGAGGGGACATCTGTTGTAAGTAGTTGCCATAGGGTGAGTTTGGCCCCCTGGGGATGTGTGGCAATGTCTGGAGACATTTTTGGTTGTTAGAACTGGGAAGTCAGGTGCTCCTGGCATTTGGTGTGTAGAGGTCAGGGTTGCTGCTAAAGTTCCTACAATGCACAGGACTGCTGCCACCATGAAGAATCACCCGGCCCCGAACATCAGTAGTGGGAGGCTGGGAAAGCCTGCAGTAGGCTGAGGGCCTAGTTCTGGAGACCTGGTGACCTGGGGTCTCCTGCCAGTCCCACCTCAGCACAGGGGTCTGTAGTCTGGTTTCTGGGAAGCTGGCTCTGTAGCATGGGGAGGGCCTTCAAGCGAGGAGTCTTTGTCCCTGCTTTGTTGGTAGCTTTAGAGAAGCCATAATTGCTGTTGGGGGAGCTGGCTGGGGCCTTTTCCTAATGCTAAAAGGGGAGGTGGTAAGTAACACTAATAGTAGCTTGTGCTTATTGAACACTTGCTTGGGGACACTGTTCTAAGGGCTCAGCGGCTGAGCAGGACCTGATCCCAAGACTGATTGCAAAGCATGTGTTCTTCTAATGTAGTCATTAGGATGATGGGCCCTGGAGTCAGACCACTGGGCTTGAGTGTGGACTGTGCCTCTTACCAGCAAGTGACTTAATTCCTTTAAATCTCAGTTTTTGTTTCTTTGACTGTACAATGGGAATAATAATAATAATGATAGTAGTAGCCACATCATAGGATTATTATGAAGAGTAAGTAAAAGTCTTCTAAATAACATTTGTATAAGGTAAATGCTTAAAATATATGAGCAACAATAATGGTGCTAATAGTTATTGTTGTAGTAATAATGTTTATTCGTATAATTAGCTAGATCTCCATAGAGAGTGTTACTTTTGATAATCCCTGAAATCTCCTGATTAGGTGCGGTGGGGTGTCCACTGCAATGCATGTGGGTAGTGGGGAGGAGAAGGTGGGTGCTGAGGAGTGGAGACAGAGGCACCCACACCCCCACCGTGGGAAATTAGGGAAGAGTGATGGCAGCTGCCTGAGGATTCACCAGAGGAGCTTCGGGATGCACCGTGGGTTGGGGACCATCTGGCAAGCACTGCCTGTTTGTCTTATCTTCAGCCTCCGGGAGGAAGTGGCCAAGTTCCTGTCTTTCTACTGCAAGAGCCCAGCGCCACTCAGACCAGAGAATGTGAGTAGCCCCCTCCACTGCTCCTTCCTGTTCTCTTGCCTCCCCTCTCCATCTTTTCCCTCCCTCCCTCCCTCCCTCCCTCCCTCCCTTCCTTCCTTCCTTCCTTTTTCCAGACAGACTCTTGTTCAGTCTCCCAGACTGGAATGTAGTGGTGCAATCTTGGCTCACTGCAACCTCTGCCTCTTGTGTTTCAGTGATTCTTCTGCCTCAGCCTCCCGAGTAGCTGGGATTACAGGCGTGCACCACTATGCCTGGCTAATTTTTGTATTTTTAGTAGAGACGGGGTTTTACTATGTTGGTCAGACTACTCTCAAACTACTGACCTCAAGTAATCTGCCCGCCTCAGCCTCCCAAAGTACTGGGATTACAGGTGTGAGCCACTAAGCCTGGCTTCCATTCCCCACCTCTTGGCTGGCCTGAGGGTAAGCTGGGATTGAGATCTGCCCTTCACATAGTTTTGATTTGTTTCAAAGTAGAATTAGGAATACCTTCTCCCTCCTCGATGTTTAGAGTTTGGGTATAATTTCCACCCCATGTTGTTCTGTGGACCTTCTGCCTCCACACCCTCAGGCAAGACCCTCTTAGTGACCAGCCCCCTCTTCCTGGCTCAGATGATCTGGAGCAGGGTCCACACGGATGAGCTTGGCTGTTAGTCTAGTGGCTTTGTTGTGACAGAGCCCCAGGTGGCACCAAGGCAGGGCCTGACGCTCCCTCTGTGCTGTCCTGGGAGGCTGCGGGTCCCCGCCCACTCCTGGAACTGGTTCATCTTCATCCCTTGGATATGTCACCCTTAGGTGGTTGTCCTGAATGGTGGTGCCTCGCTCTTCTCTGCTCTGGCCACGGTGCTGTGTGAGGCTGGGGGTAAGTGATCTCTGTGGCCTGCCCTGCACTGAGAGCCCCATTGTGCCTGCAGGGCCCCCACCGTTGCCTGGCCTCAAGGGCTGCAATAATATGCTTTCAGGCACACTAGAATATACTAGACTGCAGGGGGCGTGAATAAGTGACTTGACAAAGCACCCGTGGGTCAGCAGTTCCAGGGGAGGTTAGTGTGATGTTAGGGTCCTGGGCTTTCTCTCTGCCATGACCTTGGCTGCTTCATGCTCATAAGGGGGCTGTCGTATCCTCACGTGACAGTGTGTCTTAAAGCAGGAAGAAAGGGATGTGGTCGTGCCGTGCCTGTCTCTTTTTTATCAGGAGAGATGGGGATAGGGATGCTGTTTCCCAGAAGAGGCCCCCTTCTATCTTCCTGACCAGAATTGACTCATAAACCTATCTCCAGAATGGTCCCTGGCAAAGGGTTGCCTGAAACCAGACGTGGTTTGTCCCCCAGGGCTAGGGGAAGGCCAACCTTCCTTAGACATGTTGTTGGTCATGCCTGAAAAAACTGGTACTGTCTTAGCACAGAAGGAAATTGAAATGGCTGTTGAATGGGCAGCCAGCCAGCAGTGCCTGCCGCAAGAGCGGATTGTTTTAAGAATCAGTTATGGTCAGGGGTTACTGGTTGCAAGGAAAAGAGACCCATTCATGGTAACTTAATTAATAATGAGATTATTAGTAACATTTAATGAATTGTGTTCCAGGGACTGGCCTAAGGCTTTATACAGAGTATTTCGTTTAATCCTCACAATACTTCAATGAAGTTGGTTCTATGATGATCTCCATTATACAGATGAGGAGACTAAGGCACAGGAGGTTAACTTGCCAAAGTCACACAAAGAGAGGTAGTAACCAGGATTTGAACCATCAAAGAGAGATTCACTGTAAGGATATGATAGGCAATTTCCTGCCCATTCCAGAACAATCAAGAACAGGAACCTTCTAAGCTTCAGTTTCCCCATCTATAAAGTTAGGATATAATAAATAGTACCTACTTCGGAGACCAATTGTCAGGAGCAAATGAGATAAAATAGAAACAAATATTCAGTGCATTTGCCATCACATAGTAAGTGCTTAGCAAATGTTAGCTGTTAATAATTAGAAAGGGGGCTGTATTAGTCTGTTCTCATGCTGCTAATAAAGACATACCCAAGACTGGGTAATTTGTAAAGGAAAGAGGTTTAATGGATTCACAGTTCCACATGGCTGGGGAGGCCTCACAATCATGGTGGAAGGTGAATGAGGAGCAAAGTCACATCTTACATGGTGGCAGGCAAGAGAGGTTGTGTAGGGGAACTCCCCTCTATAAAACCATCACATCTTGTGGGACTTAATTCCCTATCACCAGAGCAGCACAGGAAAGACCTACCCCCATGATTCAATTACTTCCCTCCAGGTCCCTCCCATGACACATGAAAATTATGGGAGCTATAATTCAAGATAAGATTTGGGTGGGGACACAGCCAAACCATATCAGGGGCTGATCTCAGTGGATCCAAGCTTTCCAAAGTGTTTTGGGAGTTGAGAGTGCAAGCATGCCCCAAATGGTCCCCAAGGAAGTTAAAGGCTTGGAGAGGGAGTGGGGACAGTGGACAGAGGGTCTGGGGTGTTCTGGCCAGAAAGTGACAGGCCCTCGCCCACTCCTGCCCCCAGAGGCTTTCCTGATCCCCACTCCTTACTATGGCGCCATCACACAGCACGTGTGTCTCTACGGCAATGTCCGACTGGCCTGTGTCTACTTGGACAGTGAGGTAAGAGTCTTGGCTTCCCAGGTAGAACCGGGGCGTGCCTGTGGTCAAGAGTTTCCTGAGTCTGAATTTGAGGGTCGTCCATGCTGAGGGCTCTGGGGTTGTGATGAGTAGGGAATGGAGCCTTCTGTTGCCACATGGCTGCCTGTGCCTGGGATCCCCAGTGGTTCCAAAGTTCTAGTCTCTGAGATCCCTGGGGATGATGTAGAAGCCAAGAGCCAGACCCAGAAACAACGAGGTGGGAACAGAGCAGGGCAGACCTAAGTATAGCACCCGAGAGTGATGAGGGGGTCCCTGAAGTGATGGGGTGGGGGTGGATGGCAGTAAGAGGCGGGGGCTCCCACCTGCTTTTCCAGAGACTCTTCTGAGGAGGCTGGGGTTTACAGGGGAGGAGAGGCCTGGGAGTTCATGTGTGTTTTGGGGGGCAGTGGTCACTGAATGTGGCTGGTGGCTCTGATGGGTCTTTTTCCAGGTCACTGGGCTAGACACACGCCCCTTCCAGCTCACAGTGGAGAAGCTGGAGATGGCCCTGCGAGAAGCTCACTCTGAGGTCTGGGGATCAAATCAAACCCGAGGCTGGGAGTGGGTGGGTCTGAGCAGGGCCTGGACCCCTCTTCTTGTGGCTGATCTCCTCCCAGGAGTAGGGTTGGTACCCAGTGATGAGGACAGACAGGTAGGGTGGTAGCACAGAATTGTTCTGGGAGTCAGGCAGAACCCTGCCCAGGGAGGGTCTTCCCTTTCAAAACAGACTCTTAGACCTCAGTTCACAGAGAATCAACCAGGGAACGTCACTAAGGATACCCCCTTCGCTGATCCATCTGATTCTGGTTCAGTGGGTCAAGTGTGGAGTGTAGGAATCTGTGGTTTAACGAGTCTCCCTGGTCATCTGAGGGGGCAATCTTGCTCACTTTGAGGGGACCTGAGGACTCCCAAAGAAGAGCAGAGACCAGTATTCCAGTGATTCCTTTCCCGCCTACTTTTCAAAAATCTACTTAATTTTTTTTACTTCGGTCATGAAAGCTATACATGCTCACTGTAGGAATTCTGAAACTGCAAAAGGCCCACCCAAAATTCTACCAGCAGAGGTAACCTACTGGCATGTGGACACATTTCTCTCTGGTCCTTGTCCTCTGCCTTTATCTGATGCTGCAGATGTAATTCTGTGTCCCACTTGTTTGCTTCATGTTGTGTTATGAACATGTCCCCCTCAAATCTCCCTGGGAGCCTTCCAGTGACCAGCCCCCTTTGACTGTGTGGCTCTGGCCTTGGGGAAGAGCTGAGGGTCGCCTACCCTAACGGATGGTTTCAGGGTGTGAAGGTCAAAGGCCTCATCCTCATCAACCCCCAGAACCCTCTGGGTGACATCTACTCCCCGGAAGAGCTGCAGGAGTACCTGGTATTTGCCAAGAGGTGAGGTACCCCACACTGGCCCCGACACAGGGTCTGGGCAGCCTGGGGTTCCAATGTGGGTTTGGTGCAGGTTTTTCTACTCTCTTCACCCCACTGTGGGCTGCTACTTGCTTTGGCCCTTCCTTGGCAGTAGAGTGGGGAGGCAGGGATTTGTGCGATGCCATTCCTCTTTCTCTTTGGCTCTTTATAACAATAGCTATCAATTATCGCACACTCTAGGGGCCAGGCACCATGCTAAGCACTTTATGTGCCTCATACAATCCTCACAACAAACCTGTCAGGTACTGATGCTGTTATCACGCCCAGCTCACCGAGCCTTCGAGTGGTCAAGTGAGGGGTGGAGCCAGACTTGAACCTGCGTCTCTCTGTCTTGAGCTCTTGTGCATGCCCCTGCCCCTCCATGGAGGTGCCCGAGGGCTCCCTTTCTCCCCTACAGTGCTTCAAAAGCTCCTCTGTCACCTGCTCTATATGTATGGCTTTCTGTTGGAAAAATAGGTCAAAGAAAGGTGTTCTGGAAAAAACAAGTTTGATAACCCGGCGCTAGACCCCGGCCCCTCTGGTTTTCTCATGTATTGCCTCCCCACCCTGCGGGACGCATTTGCCCTACACACTAAGTCTCTCCTCCCCACCCCCTGCCTCACCCCAGGCACAAGCTGCATGTGATTGTGGATGAGGTCTACATGCTGTCCGTGTTTGAGGAGTCAGCTGGGTACCGCAGTGTCCTAAGCCTGGAAAGGTGAGGCTCCCCGACTCAGCTAACTCCCTCTGCCCCTATTATCCCATGGAGCCCCGACCACTTTCTGGCTCAGCCCACGGGGCATGGCCTGCCCAGAGCAATTCCATTTCCACCCAGCTGATCCCGCTGGTCCTCAGATCTCCTAATGAGAAGCAGGGAGGGTTGGGCTAGATTCGTGATTTTCAAGTTATTCTGTGGAATTTCTGAGAACTCTAAGAAGAGGCCTCAGGATTCCTTAAGTTAGGGCTGAGTGGATGGGAAATTGGCCTCTTTGCTGTTTCCTTTACCTCCAGAGTCGCTCCAGTTTTATTCTTTCATTCATTCATTTACTCACTCATTCATTCACTCAGCACCTCTGGAGCCCCTTGCATGTGCCACACACCTCTGGATATTTGCATTTTGGGGTTTTTCATTAGGTTTACTGTAAGCAAAGCATTTGTGGCCAGAATACCTTTGGGAACACTTGGAGCAGATCATCCTCAAGGCACACTGGCCCATGCCTGTAATCCCAGCACTTTGGGAGGCCAAGGTGGGAGGATTGCTTGAGCCCAGGAGTTTGAGACCATCCTGGGCAACATACAGAGACTCTGTTTCTATGGGAAAAAAAAGAAAGCGGGGATCAGATCATGTGTGCCGTCTGTGAATCTGACCTTCAGGAATTCTAACAGTTCCTGCTGTTTGTCCAGAACCTTCAGCCCTGTCAAGTCCTTTCCATTAGCCTTCTCTTCTCATCTTCACAAAGCCTTGAGGAGTGAATGGAGCATGGATTGTGAATCCCATCTATTTTTTGGATTAGGAAAGTGAGGCACAGACAAAAAGTGATTGTCCATGATCCTTGGTTAGTCATTAACAAAAAAAATTATTGAGCATCGATTTCATGGCAGGCGCTGTGCTAAGTGCTGGAGATACAACAGTGAACAGGAAAGACATAGGCCCTTCCTGTGTGGAACTTTAATTTCTAGCCAGAAAAAAACATTTTAGCAGCTAAATGCACATCCAGCCATTGGATTATGGCCATGATGAATGCTAAAAGGGAGAGACCAGGGAGCTGTGAGAGGATCTGTCTAGGGTACCTGATTGGCCTCATCCCAGGGGGAGTGGTTAGGGAAAGTCTCTTTGATGAGTGACATTTGAGCTAGGCTCTAGATCAGGGGCCAGCAAACTTTTCCTGCAAAGGCCAGATGATAAATATTTTAGGCTTTCCAGGCCATATGCTCTCTCACTCAACTTTGCCACAGACACTGTGTAAATGAATGAGCATGGCTGTGTTCCGATAAAACTTTATTTACAAAAAACGGGCAGCAGGCTAGGTTTGGCCCACAGGCAGTCATTTGCTGACCCCTGCTCTAAAGGATGCATGGGAATGGGTGGTTCAAAGAGATGAAACCAGGGCTTGTCCCGGAACCAAAACTAGATTCAACCACCCATCTCTTCATTTGTTCAACCAAACACGTGTGGGTTCCCATAGTTCTGTGTTGCCTCTGTTCCCACGCTGTGCTCTCTGCAGGCTGCCTGACCCCCAGAGGACCCACGTGATGTGGGCAACCAGCAAGGTGAGTTCCTGGCTGGCCTTGGGGGTGTCAGGAGGGTGGGAGGGCAGCGAGGTGGGTGGAAGCAGCTTCCTCCATGGAGGGCTGGCCACCACCTAGGGTGCTTCTTCCTGCAGGATTTCGGGATGTCTGGGCTCCGCTTTGGCACACTGTACACAGAAAACCAGGACGTGGCCACTGCCGTGGCTTCCCTCTGCCGCTACCACGGCCTCAGTGGCTTGGTCCAGTACCAGATGGCACAGCTGCTGCGGGACCGTGGTGACTGCCTGGGCCTGGTGACCTGAAAATGGGAGGAGGGTTGGAGGCATCCTGGGAACAGCCAGGAATCATAGATGCTTCTTGTATGAGAAGAATTTAGGGTTGGGTTAGAGAGTACCAGCTCTGGACCCAGACTGGGTCCGTACCCTATTTGGTCACTTCCTGGCCATGCGGCACTTTGCTTCACCTCTTTATCTGTATGAGCCTCAGTTTCCTCATCTGTAAAGCAGGGATCATAATGGTACCTGTCCTGTAACAGGTTAGTGTGATTTGTAATTCAATTAGAATAGTGCCTGGCATATAATAGGCACTTGATTAATGTGAATTCATTATGATTAGCTGAGAGCACTTAAAAAACAGAGCAGGGTCGAGCATGGTGGCTCATGCCTGTAATTTCAGCACTTTGGGAGGCTGAGGTGGGAGGATCACTTGAGCCTGTGAGGTTGAGGCTACAGTGAGCCTTCGTCATGCCACTGCACTCCCGCTCGGGTGACAGAGTAAGACCATGTCTTTAACAACAACAACAACACAAACAGAGAAGAAGCTTGTAAGGAAAAATTGTTGTAATGGAAGTATGTCTCTTCCTGTGAATCTGTTCTATTCCTGGATTCAAATAGTGAGTTTAAATAGCAAAGGTTACCTGTCAATGCCACCATTTACTGAGCCTAGCAAATGCACCTGCTGTATCATCTCATTCTCTTTAGAATCCTAGGAAGCAAGAATTCCTATATTTTCCTTATTATTTTACAGATGAGGAAAATGAGGACCAGATACTACCCCACTCACTATAGTAGCTAAAAGTTTTAAAAATAGTGACAACATCAAGTGTTGACAAAGATAAGGAGCAGCTGGAAGTCTCATACATTGCTGGTAGGAGTGTAAGTAGTTCAGCCACTTTGGAAAAAAATTCAGCAGTTTCTTATAAAGGTAAACATACACTTGCCAAGTCATTCAGCAATCCTACTGCTAGATATTGACCTTGATGGTCACACAAAAACCTCTGCTTTATTCATAATCACCCATAACTGGAAACAACCCAAATGTCCTTCCACAGATGTGTGGATGCAAAAACCGTGGTCCATCCACTCAGTGGAACACTACTGTGCAATAAAATCCATGGCAACATGGGATAGTTTCAAAGGAATCGTGCTGAGTGAAAGCAGCTAGCCTTAAAAGATTACATGCTATATAATTCCAATTCGATGACATTCTGGAAAAGGCAAAACTGTAGTGATGGAGAACAGATCTGTGCTTGCAGGGAAGGGGCCAGTGTGACTGTAAACAGCATCAGGGTGTTCTTTAGGATGGTGGAACTGTTCAGCATCCTGACTATGGTGGTGGTTACATAAACATATACATATATTAGAATTCTTAGAACTGTATGGCAACAACAAACAATGAGGATCAGAGAGATGAAGTTGCCCAAGGACCCACCCTTGTCATTGGCCACACTGGGATCTGAACCTTGGTCGGTGGGACTACAAAGGATCACTCTGGAACTTTAGAACTAGATAAACCTTGGGTTTGATTCTTTATCCTGGGGGACTTTGTGCTCTGGACTCCTGAGGGAGTGTGGGACCTGGAGCTGTCAGGGCTGAGTATCTAGGTTTAAGGTGCTTTACATTGAACACTGAATTTCCATCCCTGCTTGACCTCCCCTTCATAATCCTCCCCACCACAGCAGCCAGCTAGAGGAGGGACTCAACAGCATCCTGGCAGCTTATGGCCTTTTTCTTGACAGCATTTAGACTAGCGGGACCAAGTAGAGGGTTGATGAAAGATTGATCTTCTGGCCTCTCTTTCACCCAAACAGACTGGATCAACCAGGTGTACCTGCCGGAAAACCATGCCCGGCTCAAGGCTGCCCACACCTACGTCTCGGAAGAGCTCAGGGCGTTGGGGATCCCCTTCTTGAGTCGTGGGGCCGGCTTCTTCATCTGGGTTGACTTGAGAAAGGTAATGCCGGTGGAGGTGCGGGCTGGGAGGGAGTTTCAGGCTTCCCTCCAGCAGGTGAGGGGCAGTTGGTGAGGGGTCTCAGCTATGTCCTGAGCCCCTTCCACCCTCTTAGTACCTGCCCAAAGCCACCTTTGAGGAGGAAATGCTGCTGTGGCGCCGCTTTTTGGACAACAAGGTGCTGCTGTCCTTTGGCAAGGCCTTCGAGTGTAAAGAGCCTGGTTGGTTTCGCTTTGTCTTCTCAGACCAGGCCCACCGGCTTTGCCTGGGTGAGCAGCCTGCCTTCCCAACCCAGTCCTAACTGCAGCCTTCACTCTAGCCTCTGCTTGTTTGTCCCCACCCACCTGGCCATCAGTGCCAACTGGCCCCCCACTTCCCCTTCCCAGGGATGCAGAGGGTCCGGCAGGTGCTTGCAGGCAAATCCCAAGTGGCTGAAGACCCCCCTCCCTCTCAGAGCCAGGAGCCAAGTGACCAATGCAGGTGAGCTGGTCATTGTCTCGTGGCCAGAGGGCCCAGCAGCCACTGTGGACCTGGCGCGTTCCAGGGCTGCAGAAGACCGACTGTGGATGTGCCATTTGCCAGGAAGGTGTCTAACTTGGCTTTGCGCCCAAAGAACTGTTTCTTGCCTTTTGCTGTAGCCGTGAGAAACTCCTTAAGCTGTGGTTCAGCCTGGGCCCTCCCTCTCTCCTATTAAACAAAACTAGGAGAGTCCAGATGTCTCCATTGTGAGTTATTTAGAATGGAGGAGTCGTGACTGCTTCTAACCAGAGCCTCAGCCCTCCTGAGGATGTGAAAAGAAAACAAACAACCTGTACCTTCTTTCTGATAGCACCATCATTCCTCTTTCTTTGTCACCATGGAAACGAGTCAAAGGAACAGCACATACAGGAGAGTGTGCAGAAAAATAAAAAAAAGTGATAACTTCCAAACTCCGAGGAGAATGGAATGAATGTTTTGTTCAGATTGTTCTCCCCACATTTAGGACAGTTGGGCTCACAGCACACCGGGATCCTGGGACCGTCTTCTGGTTGGGACGAGGTGAACAGGACTCTATGGTGGAAGTCAGGAGAGCTGAAGCGGTCCCTCAGTCTCCAGGAAACTCCTTCTCCCTCTCCCTTTGAAAGAGCTGCCTTCACTGATGTCCCCAAAGCAGAGTGACCTAGTGTTGGTCGTTGGGGGAAGATTTGGTGCTGCAACCCTGAACTGAGGCTGCCATGAGGCCAAGCTAACCAAGGCTGGCTTTTCTACTGTAAGGAGCAGATGAGGGCCACCTACCCCATTTTCAGGGGTGCCTTAATTCAGAGGCTAAATGAGCTTCTAGATCTGACCATAAAGCTGTGTGCTGAGGAGCCTTCCTATGTGCTGACACTCCTGCTTGGAAGCCGGTGCTTTCCTTCTTTCTTTCTTTTTTTTTTTTTGAGATGGAGTCTCACTTTTTTGCCCAGGCTGGAGTGCAGTGGCACAATCTCGGCTCACTGCAACCTCCACCTCCCAGGTTCAAGCGATTCTCCTGCCTCCACCTCCTGAGTAGTTGGGATTACAGGTACCTGCCACCATGCCCGGCTGATAATTGTATTTTTAGTAGAGATGGGATTTTGCCATGTTGGCCAGGCTGGTTTCAAACTCCTGACCTCAGGTGATCCACCCACCTTGGCCTCCTGAAGTGCTGGAATTACAGGCGTGAGCCACCATGCCTGGCCTCAGACTTCTTTTTGAGATCACTTTTCTTTTGCCTGGAGTATAGCACTTCAGTGTCCTTTGATGAGGGTCTGCTGATGATAAACCTTCAGTTTTTGCTTATCTGTATTTTGCTCTATTTTATTGTATTGTATTGTATTTTATTTTATTTTATTTGAGACAGAGTCTCACTCTGTTGCCCAGGCTACAGTGCAATGGTGTGATCTTTGTTCACTGCAACCTCTGCCTCGCATGTTCAAGTGATTCTCGTACCTCAGCCTCCCAAGTAGCTGGTATTACAGGCATGCGCCACCATGCCTAGCTAATTTGTAATTTTAGTAGAGACAGGTTTTCAACATGTTGGCCAGGCTGGTCTTGAACTCCTGACCTCAGGTGATCCGCCTGCATTGGCCTCCCAAAGTGCCGGGATTACAGGCATGAGCCACCACTCCTGGCTTGCTCTATTGTTGAAAGAATTTCACTGAGTATAGGATTCCAGGTTAATAGTTATTTTCTTACTTGCATTGTTCCTGTCAAGTAGTCAGCTGTCAGTCTGTGGCTTCTTCAAAGGTGATCTGTTTCCTCTGTCTCAATGCCTTTGAAACATACTCTCATCATTGATGTTATACAGTGTTACTATTATATATCTTGATGGTTTCTTTTTACTGATCTTATTTTGGGTATTGGGATTCTTGCATCTGTGGATTCTTTCAGCAGCTCTGGAAAGTTCTCATCAAATATTTCTTCTGCCTCATTCTCCCTCTTCTCTTCTTCTGGAATTCCTATTAAATGTATGATATAGATCAACTTGCTCTGTCTTCATGTATTCTAATCTCTTTTTCATATTTTCTCTCTCATCTTTCTGTGCTGCATTCAGGGTAATTTGTTTTGGTCTATTTTTCCATTTAATAATTCTTTCTTTAGCTGAGTCTAATCTACTTTAATCTATTTGAGTTTTAAATTTAAGCAAATATATTTTTATTAGCAGAAGTTCTAAAAGTTATTCTTTATACCTCAAGCTCGTTTATTCATTTCAATAAGCGTAATGATAATAAGTTTATTTTTTGAGACAGAGTATCACTCTGTTGCCCAGGCTGGAGTGCTGGAGTACAGTGGCATGATCTCAGCTCAATGCAACCTCTGCCTCCCAGGTTAAAGTGATTCTCCTGCCTCAGCCTCCAATGTAGGTAGGATTACAGGTGTGCACCACTATGCCTGGCTAATTTTTGGCATTTTTAGTAGAGATGGGGTTTTGCCATGTTGGCCAGGTTGATCTTGAACTCCTGGCCTCAAGTAGTCCGTCTGCCTCAGCCTCCCAAAGTGCTGGGATTACAGGCGGGAACCACCGTACCTGGCCAATTTCTTTTATATATCTCTATGCATCTTTCTATGTATGTATGTATGTATGTATGTATGTATGTATGTATGTATTTCCAGTATTCCAGTGTCTGAAATCTTTGCTGGTTTCTTTCTGCTATGCTGTCTCATGCCTTGATTCTTTGTGGGTTTGGTGATTTTTTTATGGTGAGCTGTTCATTTTTTGGGGGAAATTTATTTGTTGGAATTCTTTGAAGTCTTAGATGAAGACAGATTCCTCAAGAGAGTTTTTGTGTTTATTTCTACCAGGCAACTAGAGGCAATGCCAGGCCTCAAACTAAATGTTTAGCTTTTTTTTTTTCTTTTTTTTTTTGGCCGTCAGCTGCTGTGAATTTGGTCTGGAAATCTAGTCTGGCAAGAGCCAGCTTTTGGTTACAACTTCTCAGATTAACTTCCCACCTTTAACACCAAGGTTTGAGACAGCTTTCCTTGCAGTCTTTTGAAGAGGGAGGAAAGGATGTGATTCTGGTTTAACCTTATTCTGTGGAGTTCGCTTTTTGGAGTCCTGGCTTTATTGGAGAAGAGTTTCCTATTAGATTTCTCATCTTCGGTCAGCCTCCAGGAGATTGGGAAAATAGAAGCTCAAGATCATTGTTTTGGCAAATGCCTCAAGATGCATCATAGTTGTCACTCAGTCCCATGCCTGATCATTCCTGAGCTCTCCAGCCTCAGCCTCCTGAGTAGTTGGGACTACAGGCACCCACCATGACATCCGGTTAATTTTTTTTTCTTTTCATTTTTGGTAGAGATGGGATTTCACCATGTTGGCCAGGCTGGTCACGAACTGCTGACCTTAGATGATCCTCCTGCCTTGGCTTACCAAAGTGCTGGGATTACAGGCGTGAGCCACCATGTGTGTCCCGAACATTTTGTTTTTAACTCAGCATTGTTACTAGTTTTCAGTGTATGTGGTAGGGAGAGGGGGTCTTCCTTACTGTAAATGAGTACGTGGGCTTTCCGTTTGCACTCTCATTTAATCCTGACTTCATCACAAGGCAGATATTGCTGTCCTGGTTATATTTTTAAGTAGAATTTCCATGGTGTATAGCTTTTCACTATTAGGAATAATGCTGCTGTGAACATTCTTGAATATGACTTTTTGACACACATGTATACACATTTCCTTTCTATATGTACCTGCTAGGTAATGGAGTAAGCTCAGCTTTAGTAAATACTGCCAGTTTCCTAATATGATTCTACCGATGTATAGAAGTGTATAAAAATTCTATTAGCTCCTCATCCTTGCCAACTTTTAGGTATTATCAGGTAAAAAAAGGTATGTAGCACTATCTCATTGTAGGCTGGGCATGGCACCTCATGCCTGTAATCCCAGCACTTTGGGAGGCCGAGGTGGGTGGATCACCTGCGGTCAGGAGCTTGAGACCAGTCTGGCCAACATGGTGAAACCCCGTCTCTATTAAAAATACAAAAATTAGCTGGGTGTGGTGGGAGGCACCTGTAATCCCAGGTACTCAGGAGGCTGAGGCAGGAGAATCACTTGAACCCAGGAGGCGGAGGTTGTAGTGAACTGGGATTGCGCCACTGCACTCCAGCCTGGGTGACATAGCGAGACTCTGTCTGGAAAAAAAAAAAAAAAAGCATCTCTTTGTAGTTTGCATTTTCTCTTCTGTTCTGGTAAAAAAAAAATGTAACATTTACCATTTTAACCATTTTTAAGTGTACACTTCAGTAATGTTAAGTACATTCCCAGTATGGTTAAACAGATCTCCAGGAGTTTTTTGTCCTGCAAAACTGAATCTCTATACCAGTTAAAACACTCTTCCTGCTGTCTTCCTCTCAGCTCTTGGTAACCACTATTCTACCTTTTGTTTCTATGAATATGACTACTTTAGATACCTCCTGTAAGTAGAGTCACACAATATTGGTCCTTTTGTGAATGGCTTATTTCACTTCACATAATGTCCTTATGGCTTATTTGTGTCATAGCATTTGATAGGCTTTCTTTCCTTGTTAAGGCTGAATAATATTCCATTATATGTCTATGCCATATTTTGTTTATCATTCACCTATCCATGGTCATTATGTTGCTATCTCCTGTTGGCTATTGTGAATAGTGCTGCTGACAGAGCAGGAGCATCACCATCTTGGACAAGCACTGTCATTTTAAAGTTCACATTGATCCAAAACTGCCCGAATCCAAAGGGCATCAGCCTAATGGCTAAGGTCAGCATGACCATAAACCACAAGTTACATTTCTGACCAGAAACATTCCAAACCCCTCCCTGACTAGAGACATGCCAGCCCTGAGATAACCTCTTCTCCAGCAGGAGAGATGTCAGCCCTAAGATCACCTCCCCTCTGGCCAGAGACATTCCAACCCCACCATAAACTTCTCCCTTACACAGAAACATTCCAAGCCTGTGATAAGGTGTCTCTTCCTGAACCCTTAAATAATCTTAGTCTGTGAGAGAACACGCTCCTGACCAAAATTAGCCAGAAGCCCCTCTCAGGTTTATTCTCCAAAATAAACCTGTCTTTGACTATTGAGCCACTTTTCATGTTTCTTTTGTCTTTCTTTAACTCATACACTGCTATGAACATGGGTGTGCAGCAATCTCTTGAAGACCCTGCTTTAAATGCTTTTGGGTATATACCCAGAATTGGAATTGTTGGGTCATATAGTCATTCTATTCTTAACTTTTTGAGGAACCATCATACTGTTTTCCATAGCAGGTACACTGTTTTACAGTCCTACCAACAGTGCACAAGGGTTCCAATTTCTCCATGTTCTCATTAGCACTTGTTTATGTTTTTGTTGATGTTGTTGTTGTTTTAAGATGGCGTCTTGCTCTGTTGCGCAGGCTGGAGTGCAGTGGCATTATCTCGGCTCACTGCAACCTCTGCGTCCCAGACT